GTAGGCGTCGGACAATTCATAAAATAATACTTTTTAAAAATCAAACGGTTTAGCCGCAAACTTCCGTGCCGTATAGCGTGAATAACCCTGTACAAAGATTTAAAAAAATGTATAAATTTTTTTCTCAAAACGATATTTACTTAAAAAAATTACGTATTAAATGGAGGAAAGAATTATATAAAAATTGGTAAGTAACTGCCAACTAAATAATATTCATAAAAATTGCAAACTAAAAGAAATATATTTGCCAGTTTAATTTATTTCACACTAACAAGAATTGGGATAGGTTATAAAATTATTTTTAATAGTTCGGTAATTAATATTAATTTGCGTCAATAATATTGTCAGGAAAACGAAAAATGTTTATTATTTTTCGCTACAGTACGAAAATAAAACTGCGTATAAACCGCCAAATTTAATAAAAACTCGTAAATTATAAAATATCTACAACTAATATTCCGTTAATAACATATAACATAACAATCCGAAGTACGTAATGAGATTCTTTAATCCCTAAACAAATTTTTACTGTTTGGGATTTTACTTGAAAGCACGCTGGGTGGGGTCTAAACTAAAATCAAATTACTGGAAACTAACTCTTTATTGCCATATACCACTATGAAAATACAATTATTCTGCTTTGTACTCTGTGGCATAAAACACAACTGCCGAACATATATAGAACGATAACTAGAAAATACTGCTGATTGTACGTACCTTCACGATACAAATTAAAATACAAAAACGTCCGAAAAAATGTTACAAACTTCGATTTAGATATGGAAAAAATTCTGATTGGAATTTTGAACGAAACGTATTGGTTTAGGCTAGCTAAAAAATACGTGTTAACTGTAACTGAAATTACTACCCGCAAGTCGATTCTTTATACTTTCAACTCAGGTTTTTATTGCCACCCACTATGTTAGCATTTCCAAGATTTAATAACGTGTACCCATCTTAAGCATTTGTGAAAATTGTAGGTGGTATAAAAAATACGAACGGTAAAAACTAGCCCTATCTTAAACACTGATATGAACACATTTAGAAACCTGTTAGTGAGCTTATGGCAGAGCTACCTTCGAGATTCTCCATACTTTACAGAAACTATTCATAAATATTCTAGAACTCACGAGAACAAATGATTTGCGCGCCGTGAGCCATTTAATACATGATTCCACAATAAGGACTTATTTGCAAATACTTGCATGTCAAAAGGGTTAATATGTCATTCTACGAAACATAAAAAAATATTAATAAGTACAATCGCACCACGAAAGTGTTTGGCAATCATTCTGACAAAACACCACACAAGAATATTAACACCGATTTGCCGAGAATTAGATTGCCATAGAACTAAAAATAAATGCAATTTCTAAATTTAATTTGTAAGGTTTTCATTGTTTAATGGTAGGGTTTAATTACAGCGAACCAGGAAAGAAATAACATTTTGTGCTCCATGTAAGGTTTTTCAATTTCAATACTATTAGTGATGAACAGAAATATACTATTTATTTGACAAAGCTATAATATTAATACTCCTTTCCCTACTCACCTTGATCAGCTTTTAAGTTTACACTCATCCTAACCCTACCACTAGACGCGAAATATGAATGTGATTTATAAACTTATAATTAGCCCCAGTTCGTGCCATGATTGACGAAAATAATTATGGCACAAACTGTGCCATGGACCAAAAACCGAAACAAAAGTGAAAATCATAAACTAAACAAACTTAAGCTGCGACCTCAGCTTCTGTAACTTCACCATTTGCTTCCACTTCAGCTGGTGTGGAATCTACTTTTGCCTTCTTCTCCGGCGTCGATTCTTCAGCCTTACCATCTACGGCATCTCCTGTTGATTTTCTTTTGATGCAGCATTTATCTACATACATGATATAATCAGTTTCGTGATTTTATTCGAAAAACACAATTGGAGTCATAAATACGAAAATTCTACAATACCAAGCGAGAATTGCCAATGTTTCTCAGACGAAGAATTATATTATATTTATAAGTTTCAGTCGAAAACAGGTTTAAAAATAATGACCCGACTCTTGTTCAATGTTAACCCGCATCAAAATTATAGTTTACTTAATAAAAACGTATATTTAGTTAGAATGCATAACATATCTTTGGAAAAAATGCAAAACAATTTAGATTTGAAATTTCCATTAAGCAGATGTTCTGAAATTTGCAACCGAAATAGGTATGCCGGGTATTGGGCGGATTAACAAATATAATTATCAATATAATCAATTTTGAATGTGCTTCCTTGACGCAAAAAACTATTATATTTGAACGTTAATTAAAACAGGAGTTTACAGTTTTTATAGTTTGTTAATTCAATTAGGTGTACATTTCGATGTCTAACACACTTGAAATTCAGATATCAACGTAATTAAGCCAACCAGGTAGTTTCTTATTAACATATCCGCATGGATGAATTTTTTTAACAAGTTCTGCATTATACCAATTGGACTGGGAAACATTTACAAAGTATTTCGTTGTTTGTCTTGTTGAGTAATCATTTTCAACATGGCATAATCGTTAATTTAAGAAGTGGAAATACTAGGAATCGTTGTTGAATGCGCAAACTGTGTGGATTTTACAGATATTCAGTTTATATTGAAGAAAACTGTTCTGAAAAATGATAAAACTGTTCTGAATGAAATAAATGACATTTAATAGTTTAGTAATTCGTGCAAATCTTTTCAACTGGGTTTACAAATACCTGCATGTAAAAAAACTACAGGTTCCGATCATTTCAAGGCAATTTAAGATTCCCTCAGCTCTCATAATCTTGCGCACACAGGGCCACTAACTTTGCAAATATGACAATGATGTTCATTTGTCCGGCGACTACCGCAATTTGCAAAAGTCCCTCCCTAGCGACTTGTTTCACATCATTGGGAATATGCCACGATCAGTTCAGTTCACTTATATTGGTGTTGCTTACCTAATCCGATACTTAACACCAATTAAATATTTAATTAGCTAACGATATCCAAGGGTATCAATCACCCTCGTAAACCTCACACTTGTTTATGACCACGATATTGATTTTTTGACAATGTATAATCTAAAGCACTGATAACTGATAAAATTACATTGTTGGGCGTATAGTCCATATTCAAAGCGCATTATCAGTAAATTTTACCTGTGGTGGTTTTTTCTTCTTCCTCTGCAGGTTTCTTGGGAGCATCCTCTTTAGAATCCCCATTCTCAGCTTTCTCCCCATTTTCCTCCACCTTGGGCTCTTCAGTAGTTGGCTTTTCAGCTAACTTCTCTTTCTCCTCTACTTTCTTCTCTTCGATGGTTGCTTCAATACTGAAAATAATGTTAAAAATGTTTAAGGAAGACTACTAGGAAGAGAATCAGCAGTTTTTTCACTTTGTCAATTTGTCAACAAGCTATTTCTCTGCTCTTTTAGAATATTGTTTAATTCCGATTACATTTTAAACCGAGCAGTTTTTCAACAACAGAATGAAGCATATAGGAACGACTTAATTTTAAACAATTTTGTCTTCTGCTATAGCAATATAATTACATTTCAGAATACTAAATAAATAGTCGAGTATACACGAAAAACTATTGCTCTTCACCAACAAAACAATGAAACTCTTCAAATAATGGAAAACAATCGGTTGAAATTTTATTGACACAATTGTGGTGAGAAAATACAGGCTTCCTTGCAAAGCAAAGTATTATAATTTATTAGAAAACACATCGCATTGAGAAAAACAGCAACAAATTATCAGATAAATAATTTTTTAAACTTTTGAGGTAAGTAGCCCAGGATTAATGTTCGTGACAATTTAGTGAAAGTTTGTCTTATCGGTTACTTTCACAAGTAGGGGTTTTACAGGGTGGTCCCGTTCTTATGTTACACGCAATTGATGAGAAAACACATTAGTTTACTTAATAATTAAATTCTAAACCAATTCTTGAATCTTCTATTGTTTTACCACAAATTAACTTTCTAATTGGATAAAAATCATTAGGCCCACTTAATTAGTTTTAATTACTCGGGTGCTAGTAAATTGACAGATTACAACACTTTGCGAATGACTGGTGTACTTGTATAAATTAGTACAGTAGTGCATTTTTAACATAAAAAATTTTTCTTATATAAAATATATATAAAAAATAGGTATCCTTTTTTTTTGAATACAGGTTCTAACCTAAAATTTATTATTGAAAAAACCCTGTTTTTTGAAAAACATTTGTGGCCGGAAATAAGTCACTAAATCATACAAAATGTTCATCGTTGAACAGATGACGCAATCCTGCATTTAAATGTACTAGACAGGCTTTTACTCGTTAATTATTCGAAAAAACAAGTAATATTAAAAAAAATGCTGATTTCAAATAATAAATTTGGGTCCCGAGATGGGGCACTTTGGGACCGCAAATTATCTACTTTTCATGTCCATATATATTTTTGGCAAAAAACGCAAACAAAACTAAATGCTTCCTGATAACGGACAAGCGCTATCACTTGACTTCAAAAAAGGTGGTGTGTAAAACCTCGTTATGTTCATAAATTCATCTATAAATGCTGTGACTTGTTTACCGGTAAAACAAAATTCTCGCTGAGTTTAGCGTTTAAATAAATTTGTGATGAACCCATAGTTCAAACAGGTCGAGAAACTGTAACCTTATTTGCCGATGTAAGTAAAGTTCACCGAACAAAGACCTCATAACGGCTGTTGAATTCTACTTAATTTAGGCGGCAAGAAGCATGTTTCCTGCATATGTGAGGTTATAATAGAGCATTCCTGATAAATAACGCATTTTTACACCCGATTGATCACCGAAAATATCGGAAAAAGAATATAACAGAAATAGAGACTAAAGCAAGCATTTGACGAGCATTTCAACCGGCTTTTGCAATAACACACGGGCACACCGCCATTTTGCGTTCTATACCGCCAAAACAAAGCCGATCATTATTGCCGATATTTCCGCAACTTTAACAAATAACAACAAAATAAATACTTACGTCTTTGATGCTTCAGTGTCTGCCATTATTCCAAGTGTTTTTTTGGATTATTTCCAACAATATACCAAAAAAAAACAAGTAAAATCGTGGAGCGTGCACGCCGATGTACTCTGGTTAACGTAAAGCTAAGGAGAAAGAAAGAGAAAACGCGCTCTTCGAATGACGCAAGCTCGACAGCAACCGACGACCGAAGCTCACTTTGAGCAGTCTGATTGGTTGGAAATTCCAAGGTAATTGCCGCTATCGACTATTTCCGCTCTGTTTCGAGGCAGGCGGAAAAATTTCCACCGGTTTTAACGTTCTTAAAAAATATTAGTTTCATATTTATAGTCATGCTACGAAATTAGATGTTAGCCTAATGTTTATTTAACTGCAATTGCTTTCCTTTTCATGTTACTATCGATGTGCCATATACTCGTTAAACAAAAAAAAACGTTTGTTTGTTGATTACTATTCAAACAGTTCAATTTTTTACTTTTTTTGTAGTTTGGAAAATCGAGCCAATTCAGTACATAACAGTAACATATTAGGAACCAACAGGAAATTAACAAAACTGCCGAGTTTTCATCAGACTACTCAAAAATTAAATAAAAAGGTCAAATAGAAAACTCTGGAACCGGAAATGTAGCGTCTCTGATGTAGCCAAAGATCTAGTCACAGACTACATACCTACATACTATTTATCTAGTTATTTCCCAGAAAAAGGGCGTCGACAAGTGGCTTTTGGACCGTAATGACAATAAAGCACTGGCTTTCACGCAATGACATCACTTGCGAGGTGGAATTTTTTTGCTAACCCTATCGCTAAAACCCTTTGATGATGTTCAACATTGCAACAATACAGGGAATTAAAAAATGAGCTTCCTCTATGTACGGGGTTAGTAAATAAGTGCGGCAAACGGCACCCCATACGAAAAAATGGCAAGAAAGATTTGTTGTCATAAACTAAACGGGGATTTCAAAAATTATTTTTAATTTGAAATATTTTTTACCAACAAAAATGAGATTGTTACCCGCATGTGCATCAATGATGAACACAAAATTCTTAGTAGCAGCAGAGACAAGTACTTGTCTCTGGTAGCAGCATAGAGAAAGTAAAATAAGTTATTAAGTAGTTAAGTAAGTTATTTTACTTACTCTATGGGTAGCAGTCAATAAATGCGCAATGACCCACCAGATTTCATTTTCCTATCTGGACCGGTTTCAGAGCAATAAATAAAACATCATCACTTTTTAAGAAAAACTTTTACACCCCGTTTCTTCAAAACTAATCATTTGCTGACTTACGTTAAAAAAACTGTAATTATTTTTTTTTCATGCAGAATCTGTTCTTTTTTTTGTACGCTTGCTTGATTCGGAATGCTCAACTTAAGAACAATATTTTCCAGTTTCTAACAATTTCTGTTGACCGAAAGTAGGTACCAACTTGGTTAGTTTAATTGAAACACCTTGTATATTTTTGTATTTTAGAAAGATTGATTAAATTTTGGGGCAATATTTGTAATACAACTGGGTCCAAAATCTGAGCAGTTTGAGATATTCGATATTTTTCAAGAAAATTGACATTTTCATCCGTTTACAAACTTAAATAACTCAGCGCCTATTTAAGTTAGAAGAGACGTACTGGTCACAGTATCCAATGAAATATCTAGTTAACTGAGCTAGTGTTCGATTTGTCAAAATAAAACTGCGGGTGTCCACAAATCAAGTTTACACTTTCAACAGATTTAGACGATATAAGTAAGATTTTCACAGGGAAACACAAAGCACGCTTTTTTATTAAAGCCTCAGTCTTTAACGCTTCACTGACTTAATTTCAATTGGACATAAAATTAAACGCAAGTTAAATTATGACGAGCCAATTAGCTCTTTTGAAAAGAAGAAAATGCGAATTATATTTTAATTATTTTATTATCTAAGTTTCACTAATTAAGTTTTTCTGTCTTCTAATTTATAATAATTGCATGTTTGTCTGACCAACGCAAACAAAGGCCAAAAGCCGGTCCTGTAAACATCAATTCCAGAAAAGTTTAGAATCACTTGCCGCCTGCGCAGTTCCGAAATTCTGTTTAGCTTGCTTTATACCACATGCCAGACAAGAAAAGAGATTGTCGTGGCATTCTACTCCAATTTCATTGATTACGATCATAGCCACATCTATGCATTGCTTTTAATAGTTGCTAATGCAGCAGAAAGTCGTTTGTAGGCGCTGCTGTCTTTCGTCTCTATTCGGGTCTTGAATGTTATCAAATGGAGTGAAAATCCGACCTCTTGCGCTTAGATCATTGCAGCCATTTTTTTGTAAATTCGGGAATATCGGAGTTTTAGTGCCCGTATTGTAGTGCATTGTGAAGTATCGTTTGCCGTACGGTCCACGGAAGTAAATCGGTTATTTAGCGGGACGGGGAGAACAGACATTATAGCAAAATGTATGTGTGGAGTGCGTGTTGACAGTAGGTACAATTACTAGTGACGTTTGTGTCCTCCGCCGCTCTTGCAACCTATTTGGTGCTTTAGGCGGAGTGTGGAAAGGAAATTCGAAGCCCTGGAAGGTTTAAAAGTCCAAACCATGGGCAACAATGCCGCTACGGCGAATAAAAAGGTTGATTCCGCTGAGTCTGTCAAAGAGTTCCTTGACCAGGCCAAGGAGGACTTTGAGGAAAAGTGGAAAAAGAACCCAACAAATACTGCATCTTTGGATGACTTTGAACGGATAAAAACATTGGGCACGGGCTCCTTTGGCCGAGTTATGATTGTACAACACAAACCTACTAAGGAGTACTATGCCATGAAAATCCTTGACAAGCAGAAAGTGGTTAAACTCAAGCAAGTGGAACACACGCTGAATGAAAAACGTATTTTACAAGCTATTAGTTTTCCGTTTTTAGTTAGCCTGAGATTTCATTTCAAAGACAATTCGAACCTGTATATGGTCTTGGAATATGTGCCGGGTGGAGAAATGTTTTCGCACCTTCGCAAAGTGGGACGGTTCTCTGAACCGCATTCGCGATTTTATGCTGCTCAGATAGTACTGGCTTTCGAGTATTTGCATTATTTAGAGTTGATTTATAGAGATTTAAAACCTGAAAACTTACTGATAGACTCACAAGGCTACTTAAAAGTCACTGACTTTGGTTTTGCCAAACGCGTCAAAGGGCGCACCTGGACCTTATGTGGAACACCAGAATACTTGGCTCCAGAGATCATTCTGAGTAAAGGTTATAACAAGGCTGTTGATTGGTGGGCTTTGGGCGTCCTGGTCTATGAAATGGCTGCTGGATATCCACCGTTTTTCGCCGATCAACCTATTCAAATTTACGAAAAGATCGTTTCTGGAAAAGTGCGATTTCCATCCCATTTCGGTTCAGATTTGAAAGATCTGCTACGTAATTTGCTACAGGTAGATCTAACAAAACGCTACGGTAACTTGAAAGCTGGAGTCAATGACATTAAGGGTCACAAGTGGTTCCAATCAACAGACTGGATTGCGATTTTCCAAAGAAAGATTGAAGCTCCATTTATTCCAAGGTGCAAAGGACCAGGAGATACTAGCAATTTCGATGATTACGAAGAGGAGGCTCTACGCATATCGTCAACTGAAAAGTGCGCCAAGGAGTTTGCTGAATTCTAAAATTTCTTATTTGTAAGTATTCACTCTACTATTTCGGGAAACATTTTCTACATGAGGGGGCAACTTTGCGTCTAGCTGCTACATTTTCAGTTTACTATAATAGAGACCCGTAGGAAGAAACAAAGCGTACCGTTTTCACACAATATGTCATTTATGTTCACATGATGTCTTTCTTTTGCTCCAAAATGAGATACTTGTCCATGTTTTCATCCGTTTTTTTAAAGTGTTATGAATTATCCTCTCTTAATCCAAATTGTTTGAGTTTGTCCATTGTTTTTGCCTCTCCTTCGGCTTACCATGTATGTCTCCAGTGTAATATCTTATACATATGTCCACATGCCCCACATACTGTCACTTAAGTTTTGCCACTCGTTCAATGATATCTGATTTTTGTTTGTCTCCTCGTTTCGGTTCCTCTGTCTTAGGCTTAATCCCAATATCCTTCTTTCCATTGTTTTTTGTGTTCTTTTTAGCTTGTTTCAGTAAAAACCCTTTTCACCATTTCCAAACGATAAGTGGCCACAGGTAGTACACAAGACTCGTATACCTTTTTTTTGAGGCACACACCAATTCGTCTGGAAATTTCCGTCGTTTGATTTTCTTTTCCAAGCTTTATTGTATCCAAGGTGTACAAAACGATCGACATTCTCTATATTCATTCAGATCACGAAGCATATCCTCCAGTTCAGTAACGTTTGTTGTGATGAGGACTTTATCGTCTGTGCATCTCAGGTGATTTAGATAGCAACCGTCGATCTTAATACCCCTATTTTCCCAATTTGTTTTTTTGGAAGCGTCTTCTCAACACAGAGTGAAGAGTTTTGGTGAAATGGTCACCTTGGCGAACTCCTTTGTCAATCGAAACTTTGTCAGTGTTAAGATCTTGGTTTTATATTATATTTTAACTTGAAGTGAGGCGTTTTCGTATTAGGTTGAATATTTGTGAGAGCAGGCTTATCTTTCTTAAATAATAAGATAGCTTCTGCATTTTGCCATTCGATTGATACTCTTACTTTTCTCTTATCTCTCTATCTGTTAAACAATAGTTTTAATGATTGAAGGAAAGGATCCGAAAATCCCCTACGTAAATGCCAACCTTTACTTCCTAAATGAAACTATGCATTCGAATAAACTGACCACTTTGTACAATTTTGTAAATGTCATAAATTTACGAAATACATATGTATACAGTGGTCAATTTGCCATTATTGGTATAATAATGTTTCATTATGAATTAAAAAATCAGAATAGTGTCTTGCGAGTTAAGATTTATGAATAATAATTCAGTTCTAAACATAACATGTGAGAATTAATGGAATACGATCGGATCACTTTATATTTGCTTTACGTGTAACAAAAGATTATTTAAGACAAAATTGACATGTTTTTATCTACATGATTTATGCGAATATCAGCTCTGCATTCTATTGTACAATATATTCATAAAGAAATCTGCCAATTCTGGGTTTTGTACATCTAAATTATGTTCAAACTTTTTGATAGTTTGACTGACGCTGACCAATGAACATTGTTATTAGGGAAGCGGTTTATTTTAGCACTTTTAGCCCTTGAATATTTCAACAACATTTTTCTTTTGGGTTTTACTAAACAGATAAACTTTTAAAAGTCAGACACTATTCAAATAAACACAAATGCAAAATATGATTTCGTTATACTTACTTAAGTATTTCTTTAAGGGGGCTTTTACGTGCTACAACCTCATGACGGCGAGTTTTCACAACTCACAGTTGGGGAATTTTTTCTTCAAATATGCAGATCAAGGCTAAAACGTAGGTTATTCCTAATTCATTTAGTGGTCGATTTCGCGACATTGACCCCTCTCTCTTTTTCAACTAATAAATTCTCACAAAACAAATTTGCAAAAAGTTCCTCAATGTTTGCATACAACTTCAAATAGAGGGGAAAAGGAGTTTGAGACAGTCACAGTTTAGTCTCTTTGAGAGAATAATTGTTTCCCAAAATCTGATGCCCAAATATGCTTTATAAAACAGAAATGTATCTTTGACATGAGATTTCAAATATCGCATGGCCTTGAAAGGGAAACTTTAATATACCAAAAACCCTGTTCGTATCTACAGTTTGTTATAAAGAAAACCTGCTCGTTCACTTCTAAGGATTAATTAAACGACTTTTAATTTGCATATTAAATAATCTAATCTGTAAATACATATAAAGACACTACACGGTTTTAACTGCGGGTAATTTAATCATTTTCTTTAATAGAATCAATCAAGGTTACTCGTTTAAACTCTAACTCGATTATTTGCGCAATAAATCATTTTTTTACTGGCAACGAAGTATGTATAAAACCCCAGGAGTCTATTACGAACTCTTGCGAATTGGCTCTCAAAAGAAGAAAACAAATTACCTAGTGACGTGTTATTTTAAATAAAAAATTGCCTGCGTCTTTGCCCACCTCGCTAGTAACCAAATTTTTTCACAAAACATGTAGTCTCAATGCCTGATTTGATGGAAATATTTCAAGCGGTAGTCTTATTATTAATAATTTTGATTTTTTCATCGACGATCGGAAGCTAAGGATTTTTGCAAGAATCCATCGATTAGTCAAAAACCATATATGTATATACAGAGTGCACCATGACTCGCTGGCCGCACCATGAGAACGCGTTCTCTGGTAAATTAAGTCGAAAGTGTCTTACACGTTTTTTCAAGAACTCAATTGTTAAAGAGCATATGACCAATATTAAAAAAATAGAATCTGGATTTTATTTCATTTATGGATACTCGGTGACATTCTCCGCTCGCAGAACTGAGCAGGAAAGAAAGTATTCGTCAATGTGCATCGTGTCGTATAGCCAGAACTTGATGAATTTTTAAACTTGAACTTAATCTTGAAAAATCTTATGAGAAGCGAAATTTGCTCAAAATTTACAACCTGCAGACTGCATTTGTCGACTTTTGACCACATAACGCACTTTCAATGCCGCTTTTGTGTGAATACCTATTTGATGTGGAGTTCTTCATAAGCTTCTTGGACCGTATATCAAAAGTGTTTCTTCTGAGCATTATATAATGCTTTACATTGAACAAGACGAGTTGTCAGAATTAATGGAGGTTATTCCACATCAGAACAAAATTAACATGTGATTTCAGTATGATGGAGCACCTCCACTATTTAAATAACAAATTTGCTAATCCATAGATCCAGTGAAGGTTCAGTTCTCGGATCTCTGAGGTCACCCCTATTATCTTTGGGGATACATGAAAATCTTGGTTTACGCGAATAAACCATAAACCACATATGAGCTAATACAAAATATTATGAATGCAGCTGCATGCATACGACACGACCTAGACACTCTTCAGAGAGCTACACGTCTTCAATTATTAACGAGCCAGAATGTGCTGTGTAGCAGCGGAGGGTTACATTATTTTATTCAGTATGCTTTTACACTTCACTCTCCATGCTCTCTTAAAATTAATATTGCACATAATTCCTTTACAATTGATTTTTGTCGAAACGTGTACAAGGCATTTTCGACTTAAATTTTACCGCTTTAAAGCTATGAACTTGATGTCACTGGACGCTCTGTAGATAATTCATTGGAAGTACCTAATTTGGCTAAGAATAGAACTATATCGGACTGTGGTAACAATACCAGATTTACGGATCAATTAGAAAAAAATTAAGAATCTGAAAAGTTAACTCTGGAAAATAGAACTTTCTCGGAAATTCAGAGTAAATTATCTGCTTGAAATCATCATTAAATATCTATTCTTCACATTATTGATATACAAAAAACGGAGCATCGTATGTCAGAGCTGTGCACGAATTCTTTCACTTAATGACTTTATCTGGTGCAAACTGCTCTTACGCCCATGATTTCCTACTTTATTGTTAACTTTGCTGGTTTCAACAATGCTGCTTTTGAGAAAACGGGATTTGAATTGAAAAGCTTATTAGGCAAAGTTTGTAAGTAGAGTAAATTAATTTTTATATCCTACTTAAGTGGTTTTATCTTATAACTGCTGTTTGTAACCGCACTTTACTTTTTTTTTAAATTATTTTTATACAACGTTTTTAAGAACACGAAAAGTATGCCTTAAAATATGGCATAGAAGGTGAGATTGCGGAGATAAAATTTAAAGAAGCACTAACTAAATCATCCTTTAAACATATTTAAAATATTGTGTTTACGTACCCAACACTTAACAATTGAAAGCGAAATATTTTTACGAATTAATTGACGCCCTATATCTTTAAAACGGTACATTTTTAGGATTAGGTGTCGTGAGTGAAACATGATAGTAATATGCAAATGAAAATATTTATGTTGGTGTAGGTAGTTTGATTAGAACGGAGTACATGCAACTTAAGTTTGGTACTATCTATGAGCTGAGAACAATAATGTAAATTTGCAGATGGGTACTGTCTTTAAATTATTAGAGGATGATTAAATTTTGTTTAAATATGTTATACGGATTAGGCTTAGTATTCCTTCGAATATTAGTTGCACCCCACTGAATATAAATGAGGTTTTATTAGTAAGTTCTATCTCCGAGTTCCTGGGATTACAAAATTTGCATCTAATTTTAGTGATGGAATTTGCTAAGTCGCGAGGACATGGTCCGACTCAGACACCTTGCTACCAATTTGTTTTCGTCTGTTTCTATCTTTTATTTCAAGTTCATCAGGAGATTTACTAAATACTCTTTGAGTGGTCATGCAAACCGTTTTCCTTTTCCATAATCCTGCTGGTTTCTCCGGTTTTTCTGTCCAACAAAAAAAAGGAAAGGCAAGTTTTTAGACATTTTTCTACCGAGGTACAGGCCCTTAATTTATTATTGTTGCTTGAATAAAAGCAGAGTTGCAGTGTGCAGATACTACCTTGTCTACTAGCGACTATATGACAATTATTTGTTAATACCAAAAAAGTTATTAAAAAACGCATTTTTTGAGCCTGTATAGGATAATTCATAGGAATTTTTAATTGCTTGTTTTATTTTCATAATTTGTTGGCTTATTCCAGCCACCCTTAAAAGTTCAAGGACGG